CAGACAGTATATGACAGTATAGAAGGAAAGTGTAGCTAGGATTTCCGTCTGCCCCACAGCTATAAGCAATTATCCTATTCAGCAGAGTCGTTAGTCACACACAGTTTACCTGTTGTCATGTGAAGACCTTTTCATGAAACACGTCAGTATTTGCTGGTCTTGTTACTGCTTCAATGGACTTTTTTCCTGTTCATAAATGGATAACTCGTAAGATTACCAACTGACATTTTCCATATCTTCAGCTGGTATTAATGAAAGTCAGCTGCTGTTTTGCAGGAAAATATTCCACAATATTATAAATGAATGATGACTTGTTGTACACGGGTCAAAAACAAGATTATTCACTATGCAACAAACCTCAAAGTGCAGCTCAGATGTTCTTAAAGCGGTATTAAACCCAAAAGCAGGCATTTACTATATTGCAGCTTACCAATTCTTAGGTGATGGCTGCCTTTGTTTTCTTTAGGCTGGCTTTCCTTTATTCTCACCTGGTGATCTGGCCCGTAAGTCTGTTGTTTTCCAACAGAACAAGCTCTCCTACAAATGTAGCAATTACAGTGTTGAGGCAAACCATTTACCACTGACTGGGGCACTTACAATAATCAGATCTTATTTATGAAAAATCTTTATCCTAAAAGGGGTAAAAAGAAAAAAAAACTAATAGTCATAAATCCCCGGCACCAAAGAAATGCATATTCCCAATTAATAAATAAATTAAACGCTGCTGTACATAAGTGCAATAAACACCAAAAAATATAAGATTATCGTAAACAGCGCAAATAATAAAAACATATAAAAGTAGAATGAACAAATAGTCCAAAAATTGTGTGAAATATATAAAGTGTCAAAAAAATTTTTTTTTTCTTAATTCAGAAAAACAAAAAATATAAAGTTAAAAAACAAAGTCTTTGTTCAAAAAAAAGTGTGCTTCCACCATGAACCAGTGCTCCAACCAACATATACCGCACTCACCAGATTTTGGTGAAGTAAACGCCTTTTAGGTATTTTAGGGATCCTAGACCCTTCTTTTCAGCCTCCAGACCTCCACTCCACCATATGAGACATTTAATCCACCTTCTAGTACCTCCAAACTTCTCCTCCCAGACAGGCTCCAAAATAGTGTAGGAGAAATAAAAACACATCTAGTGTAATACTGCAACACCCAGCATGTAATAATGGCAACACCAGGCCACTCACATTTGATAGAATAAAAACCAGCATGTTTTATTGCCTCCAAAAGGCTATCGCAACTCTCATTGCATCCAGGACAGCATCAGAAATCCCACAGCTTGGCAGAAGATGACAGAGTGTGTATACACAGAACCACAAGATGGCCGCTTGAAACGCAGCGCTACGGTGTGCATTCCACTCACCGGAAGTGCGTCTACGCGTTTCGTCCCTCCCACAGGGTGTTTTCAGAGACTCTGAAAAGAAGGGTCTAGGATCCCTAAAATATCCAAAAGGCGTTTACTTCACCAGAATCTGGTGAGTGCGGTATATGTTGGTTGGAGCCCTGGTTCATGGTGGAAGCACACTTTTTTTGAACAAAGACTTTTTTTTGTTTTTTAACTTTATATTTTTTGTTTTTCTGAATTTAAAAAAAAAAAATTTTGACACTTTTTATATATTTCACACAATTTTTGGAGTGGGACTATTTGTTCATTCAACTTTTATTTGTTTTTATTATTTGTGCTGTTTATGATGATCTTAAAAAAAAAAACTGCTGTATCTCCCTAGATTGTAAGTTTTAACGAGCCGGGCCCTCTGATTCCTCTTGTACCAAAATGTATTGTAACTGTAATGTCTGCCTTAATTTTGTAAAGCGCTGAGCAAACTGGTGGCGCTATACAAATCCTGTATAGTAATAATAACTGCAGTGTTAGCTGGAGTTTGGCTTCAATGTGTTAGTGTACCTAAATTTAGTAGTCCATCTAACACTCCCCTCCCCCCCAGACTGACAATGCTGCAGTTCAAAAATGCTCCTTCATCCAGAGTAGAGGCACTCTAATACAGGAGGTGTGTTAATGGCCATACCACCAGGGGAACACAGAGGAGGGGGGAAGTCTCAAAAAAAAAAAAAAAAAAAAAAAAAAAACTAATGCAGCCACCACATCGCATGATTGGTAAGCTGCAATATATTTGTGGTTTTGGATTTAATACAGCTTTAAAATAGAATTCCAGCCTAAACCTAACTAATCTTAAGTGCCCCCTCCACTTTATTACAGGTACTTACATAGTGCCATCAATTTATGCATATATATATATATATATAGATAGAGAGATATATAGATAGAGATCTATATAGATATATATCTCCATAAATTGTAACTATAAATTATATATATATTTTGTACATTCACATCTGTCCCTGGTGGGGGTGTACAATCTAAGGTCCCTAACTTACATTCATACATACACATACTAGGGGCAATTTAGACAGGATCCAGTTAACGTACCAGCATGTCTTTGGAGTGTGGGAGGAAACCAGAACCCGGAGGAAACCCATGCAGGCACAGGGAGAACATGCAAACTCCAGGCAGGTGGTGCCGTGGTTGGAATTCTAACCAATGACCCTAGTATTGCCAGGAGGAAGTGCTAACCATTTAGCCACTGTGCTGCCCTACTTTTTTTTTTTCTGCAACCAGAACGCACCGGGACTGCAAGCACTGATGTGACCTATGACATTGCAACCATATAACCTACTTTCTGTGCGTTTTGGATGCAGAAAAAAAAGCAATTGAAACACATGTAGTGTCCTTTCACATGGGTTCCGTTTTTTTTTTCATCAGTTAAATCATGTTTTTTCCAAGAAGAAACACATCCGGTTTTCATCCATTTACATCAGTTTTTTTACATCCATTACCAACGCAAAAACGGATTATGTCCAGTTACATCCGCTTTTATCCATTTACATCTGTTTTTTTTCGTCCGTTCCAGGGGGTTTTTTGTTTTTTTTTGTTTGTTTTTTTTAACGGAAGAAAAACAGGGTTTTCTTCCATTCAAAAAAATGGATGTAAACAGATGATCATCCTCTAGTTCATAGAAATACATGGGTGTCCGTTTTGGATTTGCATATTGACTTTTAATGCGATATTTAAAATTTTTGTCATAATTTGTGTTTCTACTATATAATTGCATATTATTATATCTGCCATCTCAGCACACTTTAAAGTCCCACCTCTATGGTTTCTTCTTTACCCTGGACTTGGTCCTATGGGGTGGATGGTCTCCTTTTTTGAATTTTTTTTTTTTTTTTTTTTTTTTTTCACCTTGACTCCAAATGATAAGATTTTAACTGATTCACTTTCTTTCCTGGTTACCAAAACAAAATGAGTAGAAATCTTGTATCGGAAATATTTACAATGGCCAACATAACAGGAGTAATGCAGGCCATAGACGGGGAGAAAACCGGCGTTTTTTTTTTTTTTTTTTGTTTTTTTTTTTTGAAAAACAACAAATTGGTCGTTCAATCGGCCGGCATTACCACCATTGGTAAAAAAAAATCAGCCAATTTTCGTCCCGTCTACAGCCAGCAATGTCCCTGCAGAGAGCTCCGCTATTATATTTGACATTTAAAAGTATAGCAAAGTTGCAACATTGTATCTATTTGTATCCATTTCGGATACAGATGTTTCTATGCGGATACAAATAGATACATTGTTGCAACCGCAATACTTTTAAATGTCAAATATAATAGCGGACTGAAATTCTTTTTTTTTCTTTTTCTTCTTCATATTCTATTTCTTCTTCTTCATATTCTATTTCTTCTTCTTATTCATATTCTATTCTTTTTTCTTATTATTCATATTCTTTTTCTTCTTATTCATATTCTATTTCTTCTTCTTATTCATATTCTATTTCTTCTTCTTATTCATATTCTATTTCTTCTTCTTATTCATATTCTATTTCTTCTTATTATTCATATTCTATTTCTTCTTCTTCTTCATATTCTATTTCTTCTTCTTCTTCATATTCTATTTCTTCTTATTCATATTCTATTCTTTTTCTTCTTATTATTCATATTCTATTTCTTCTTCTTCTTCATATTCTATTTCTTCTTATTCATATTCTATTCTATTTCTTCTTCTTATTCATATTCTATTCTTTTTCTTATTATTCATATTCTTTTCTTCTTATTCATATTCTATTTCTTCTTCTTCTTCATATTCTATTTCTTCTTCTTCTTATTCATATTCTATTCTTTTTCTTATTATTCATATTCTATTTCTTCTCCTTCTTCTTCATATTCTATTTCTTCATTTTCTTCTTTTCCTTCTTCTCGCAGGTCACGGCTCATGAGCATTTTTTTAATCGGTAAAAAGATCGGCCGATTTGCCTATCACTGCCGTGAAAATCGGCCGGTTTTTTTCCAACATAGCCGATTAAAAAAATGTGTCAAAATCACGAAAAACGGCCGACAAATTCACCCACTAACGTTCCGAAAATTGGCCGATTATTCTTTCGGCCGTTTTTTTGGCCGGTTTTCTCCCTGTCTATGGCCTGCATTAGAGGGTAGATCTCCTAGAGTGGATACAAATACCAGAGGCCACTATCAAGATGAGGATTTCACTTTGCTTCAGGACATTTTCTTACTTCCCGTTTCTCCTTCATTCCGGCAACTAATAGGATATGGTTGGATAAACAAAAAAACTTGAGGCTTTAAACCCTCCCCCCCCCCCCCCCCCCCCCCCCCATATCTCTCCAGAACTAGAAGGGTTTTGGCTGGAGTTGAAATGATGCATTAGATTTGTTACTAATAAAGGCTTGAAGATCCACCATTTACTTTGTATATGGGCGAAAGTGAATTCAGGTAAACCTGCAGTATACAGGTCTTCTCCTTTCAGCCACCATTCTAGTAAATCAATTTGCTCACGTTTGTTGCAATCCTTTTGGAATACTTTCATTAAATGTAGATAAAGCCAGTTACATTTTCTTATTCTAGTTCAATAATACCTTTTTGTAAGGACGAGACAAGTGACATGACTTTCTTCAATCCCCAGATACGACGCAAATATCTCCATTTTAAAGCCATCTACGAGGATCCTTGCAATGATGTATTATGCGAGAGAGCCCGGGAAAATCTGGTAAGGAGCCCTGTGATTTCTGGTATTGTGCATGAAAAAAGAGAGCTCTTGATAAATGCAGTCAGGTAATTGGTAGTGCATTGCGTTTTGCTTGATGTTTTTGTGTGCATTCTTTGCTGGGAAAAAAAAGATATTACATATATCTATCCATTGTACACAATGAACTTGTAATAACTGCAAAATCGGCTCATTGAAGCTTTCATGGTAAGTGGTAGGATTGCACCGATACCGGTATCCGTGCCGATACTCAGCATTTGCACAAGTACTCATACAAATGTGCAGATACCTAAAATCACTACCTTTTGTGGGGCAATTTGAACCCATACTGATAGTCACCGGCTCTTTGCTCACGGAAGACCAAGAACTGAGCGATCAGCAGTCTTTGATCATTCAGTTCTCGATCTTAGCGGTGGCGGGCGACAGATGCAGAATTGGACCGATGCTGCATCCACCTAGCAGAGTATGATAGATTTTTTTTTCCTGAACTTCTCTTTTAAGTATATCACAAATAGTCACCATTTCATTTGAAGAGCGTACCTGGAATGTTTAAAGCTGAACACTTCATGTCCGGACACTTTCCCCCCCTTCCAGTCCGGACACTTCCCCCCCCCCCTTCCAGTCCGGACACTTCCCCCCCCCCTTCCAGTCCGGACACTTCCCCCCCCCCCCCTTCCAGTCCGGACACTTCCCCCCCCCTTCCAGTCCGGACACTTCCCCCCCCCTTCCAGTCCGGACACTTCCCCCCCCCCTCCAGTCCGGACACTTCCCCCCCCCTTCCAGTCCGGACACTTCCCCCCCCCTTCCAGTCCGGACACTTCCCCCCCCCCCCCTCCAGTCCGGACACTTCCCCCCCCCCCCTTCCAGTCCGGACACTTCCCCCCCCCCCCCTTCCAGTCCGGACACTTCCCCCCCCCCCCTTCCAGTCCGGACACTTCCCCCCCCCCCTTCCAGTCCGGACACTTCCCCCCCCCTTCCAGTCCGGACACTTCCCCCCCCCCCTTCCAGTCCGGACACTTCCCCCCCCCCCTTCCAGTCCGGACACTTCCCCCCCCCCCCTTCCAGTCCGGACACTTCCCCCCCCCCCCCCCCCTTCCAGTCCGGACACTTCCCCCCCCCCCCTTCCAGTCCGGACACTTCCCCCCCCCCCCCTTCCAGTCCGGACACTTCCCCCCCCCCCCCCCTTCCAGTCCGGACACTTCCCCCCCCCCCCCCCCCCTTCCAGTCCGGACACTTCCCCCCCCCCCCCCCCCCCTTCCAGTCCGGACACTTCCCCCCCCCCCCCCCCCCTTCCAGTCCGGACACTTCCCCCCCCCCCCCCCCTTCCAGTCCGGACACTTCCCCCCCCCCCCCTTCCAGTCCGGACACTTCCCCCCCCCCCCCTTCCAGTCCGGACACTTTCCCCCCCCTTCCTTCCAGTCCGGACACTTCCCCCCCCTTCCTTCCAGTCCGGACACTTCCCCCCCCTTCCAGTCCGGACACTTCCCCCCCCTTCCTTCCAGTCCGGACACTTCCCCCCCTTCCTTCCAGTCCGGACACTTTCCCCCCCTTCCTTCCAGTCCGGACACTTTCCCCCCCTTCCTTCCAGTCCGGACACTTTCCCCCCCTTCCTTCCAGTCCGGACACTTTCCCCCCCTTCCTTCCAGTCCGGACACTTTCCCCCCCTTCCTTCCAGTCCGGACACTTTCCCCCCCCCTTCCTTCCAGTCCGGACACTTTCCCCCCCTTCCTTCCAGTCCGGACACTTTCCCCCCCTTCCTTCCAGTCCGGACACTTTCCCCCCCTTCCTTCCAGTCCGGACACTTTCCCCCCCTTCCTTCCAGTCCGGACACTTTCCCCCCCTTCCTTCCAGTCCGGACACTTTCCCCCCCCTTCCTTCCAGTCCGGACACTTTCCCCCCCTTCCTTCCAGTCCGGACACTTTCCCCCCCCTTCCTTCCAGTCCGGACACTTTCCCCCCCCCTTCCTTCCAGTCCGGACACTTTCCCCCCCCCTTCCTTCCAGTCCGGACACTTTCCCCCCCCTTCCTTCCAGTCCGGACACTTTCCCCCCCCCTTCCTTCCAGTCCGGACACTTTCCCCCCCCTTCCTTCCAGTCCGGACACTTTCCCCCCCCTTCCTTCCAGTCCGGACACTTTCCCCCCCCTTCCTTCCAGTCCGGACACTTTCCCCCCCCTCCTTCCAGTCCGGACACTTTCCCCCCCCTTCCTTCCAGTCCGGACACTTTCCCCCCCTTCCTTCCAGTCCGGACACTTTCCCCCCCTTCCTTCCAGTCCGGACACTTTCCCCCCCCTTCTGCCCAAGCCAATTTTCAGCTTTCAGCGCTATCACGCTTTGAATGACAATTGCGCGGTCATGCAACACTGTACCCATATGAATTTTTTAGCATTTTTTTTTTTAGAAAGATAAAACTTTATTTTGGTGGTATTTATTCACCACTGGAATTTTTATTTTTTTTGCTATATAAATGAAAAAGTCCAAAAATTTTGAAAAAAAGTGTTTCTTATAACATTTTGCAAATAAATAGTATTTCATCATAAATCTTGGCCAAAATGTATTCAGTTATCGTTTTAGTAAAAAAATAAAAACCCAATTAGTTTTATAACCAAAAATTATAATTTTTCCAAAAAATGTTTTTTTTTAGATTTATTTTTTTTAACATGCTGTCATCCTAGCAGTACAGTGTCACCATAGTGACACTGTACTACTTGTGGCGGGTGATGAAGATTTTTTTTTTTTTTTTTTTTACACTGATTGCTTTTACACCCATAAAGGCTGTAAAAGCAATCATTTCTCCTTCTCTCTGACTGTATTCTTGCAGCCATTGAGAAATACTGTGTGAGCTGTGATTGGTCACAGCTTGTCACATGGTACAAGGCTGTTGTGAATAGCCTTGTACCATGTGACCTCTGTGATCAATCACAGATTTCACAAGCAGTTAGCAATGATGGCAGGAAGTGACATCTTGTTTACTACTGTTCATGTGATCACTGATTGGCCAATCAGTGATCACATGACCGGGACCTCAAACAGAGGTCCCGTACAGCGATCGGTGTTCCACTGTGTCAGCAGGCACTGGGTTGCGGTGCTGCTTACTCCCTGGGAGTGCGCAGAGCTTGAACATACGGGTGCCATTTATGAGCGGCAACCCGCTCCTGCACTGCTCCCGTCCGGCCCATGTACATAAACGGCCAGACGGGAGCAGTGCAAGTGGTTAAACTAAAGCCTTTTTCTCCCGTATGTCCACACAGAGCTTTGAAGTGCTTGGTATTAAAATGACCTTATTACAGCATTGACTCATTGTGTGATGACCGTATTTGGTACAGAACCCCCAGGAAATAACTTTTCTACAGTTTGTCCTGAATGGCTACAGTGCCTCTTTCAATCTCTTTTTTCCTCTAAAATCCAGAATTAAGATCCAATATCTATCAAATACAAATGTCCCGTGGAGTGTAAAGATCATGGTTTTTCTTTTATCTTGCCAGCCAGCTTCGTTATGATACATTGGCACAGATGCTGACGTTGGGGAATATTCACGCGGGCAGTCAAGTGATTGTCATGGAAACGTGCGCTGGTTTAGTGCTGGGTTCCGTTATGGAGCGCATGGGAGGTAAGACATTAAAGCAACATATATTTTGTACATTTAATCTGTTCAGTCTTTGAAGCATCGTAAAAGATCGGTGGAAACCTAAGCCATAGTTAGCGTTGGCCATGCTTGACGTAAGGCCTCCAATTTAAAGTGATTGTACAGACCCGGCCAAGCGTTTTGAGAATGACACAAAAATATTAATTTTCACAAAGTGTGCTGCTTCAGTGTTTTTAGATCTTTTTGTCAGATGTTACTATGGTATACTGAGGTATAATTACAAGCATTTCAGAAGTGTCAAAGGTTTTTAATGACAATTACATTAAAGCTGAACTCCAGTCTTTGATCACTCTATAACTACCCGCTAAAAGGGGAGGTTTGGCACTTCCTAATTTGAGATTGTATTACTATATCACCCAACTTTTCTATGTACATTGGTGGTGTGACAGGAGTGACTTTTGGTGGGGGGGCCCATGGAACACAGCCCCCTTTGGAGAGGTGGGGAGACCCCTGTCTCAGCTCCCCATATCCCTCTTATGTGTAAGTCACCCTGTGCCTGTTAGGGGCAAAGGGTGGAATGTCCTGATATTGTGTAAACATGTATAGGTGGGGTGTGTAGGTTGTTCATTGTTTAATGTCATGTGGTTGTCCCATTGTTCTATTGTGTGTCTGGCTTGGGAGCAAACTATTATGGGATGTATGTGTTTGTGTATTAGCTTGGTGGGGGGTGTCAGCTGTGTGTCTCTGGTTACTAGTTTTGGTTTGCCCCGCCCTGTGTCATTATGCCTGGAGGTGGGTTGTTCCCTTGAATGTATATATCTTGTGTCTGTGTTAACCAGCCCACTTTCTGGTGCTGTCTCGTCTTGTGTGGTCAGCGGTGGTGTCTGTGGATCTGTGTTCGGACAGGGAAGCGGGAGTCGAACGGAAATAACGTAGTGCAGTCGGGGGCTGGTTCTGTTACAGGTGGATGTTCCCACAATTGCACAACGTAGCAACCTCGATAGAAGCTGCGATAGTCTTGAAACCCTATCTAATTTGTTATTTAGAATCCTTACATACTACAGGTGGTGTCTCTATTCTTGGTATGTCCCTCCATATTTATAAACTATGTTCTATTGCCTCAGCTGAACAAGACCATATTTGTTCTCTTAATCAACCACTATGGAATAATCTACGACTACCACATTTCACCTCTCTCCCCTGTGGTCACTTATGGGCAAGACAAGGGTTAATCTACCTACAGCAACTGTACGAGGTGGGCACGTTCAGATCTTTTGCGCAACTACGCCATGGTTTGTGTCTTCTTGCAATGGTCCTCCCACTACGCACAACGTAGACACACTGTAGAGGCTCAGATTGGTCTCCACAACGTTTTCCTTACTAATTCAAAACTTGAACGAGCCATTCTCCGTCCAGTTCATTCAGGGCTGATCTCCTCCTATTACTCTTTGCTTTTGGACAGACCAGACTCCCACCTTTTTGCATATTCAGAACAAGTGGTTGGGAGATATTCCTGATGTTTGCCCTGAAAATTGGCAGGAGTTGTTTAATTCCCACACTGAGACCGTGATATCAGCCAAAGAGCTGATTCAATTACATTATTTACATAGAGTGTACTACACTCCGGCCCGTTTGTTTAAAACGTATAGGAGGGACACTCCCGTTTGTCTTAAATGTGAATGTGAGACAGGTGATTTTCTACATATGGTTTGGGGATGTAATCGGATATGACCCTTTTGGTCGTAGGTGACGGTATTTATTCCTGATACCTTCGACCTTCCCATTATTTGTTGCCCTTAATGGTGTCCATTAGGAAAATTTTGAGGATGTGGAAATGTCTACCATCTCTGAGCACTTCCTTTCGCCTTTTAATTTATTATGCCCGTAAGACTATTGTACTCAATTGGACCTGTACGAGGACCTTACACATTGGGTTATGGAAGAGGGTTATCAATCAAACCTTACCATTGTATAAGTTGATATATGAAGCTAGAGGATGTCCCAAAATGTTCTATTAACTCTAGGGCCTTTGACTTGATACTTTCTTTTCTTTGTATCCCTCCTCCCTTCTCTTGCAAAAGTTTAAAAAAAACAAAAAAATTAAAAACATTCCTGTGCATGCACACAAATGCAAACACACATGAAGGTCTGGCGTGCGTATGTAAATGGTGATTGCACCACATATGTCAGGTATTAGCACACATGTTGGGGTGAGAACAATACTTCTAGCACCAGAACTCACAGTTAATTCTGAACTGGTAACCTATAAAGACTTTAAAAGCATCCCCTATGGACAATTTTAGATACCATTGTTTGTTGCCATTTCAGAGGTATGCGCAATTTTAAATCTTGACATGTTTGGTATCTATTTGCTCGATGCAATATTGTCCTTTATATTTTAGCAAAAAATGGGTATTATATTGTGTTTTTGTGCACTAAAATTTAGGTGTGTGATTTTTTTTTCTTGAAAATTTTAATTTGAAACGACTGCACAAATGTGTGATGAAAACTATCGACATTTTTTTCCTTCAAGGCCTCAGCTTCCAGAACAGTGTAGAGTTATTCACCCTGGGGTCATCACAGAGGACAAGGGGGCACTCTTTACATCTGGAGGAAAAGTAATGTAATCTCCAAACATGGAAAGGTTTCTTCATAGTGAGAGCTGTGAAAATGTGGAATAGACGACTCCCTCAAGAGTTAGTTCTGGCCAGCTCAGTGGATTGCTTTAAAAAAAGTCCTGGATTCTATCCTAGATACACAGAATATAACTGGATACTAACGTTTATAGGTAAAGTTGATCCAGGGAATATCCGATTGCCTCTCGGATCAGGAAGGAATTTTTTTTCCCTGCAGGAGCAAATTGGATCGTGCTTTGCTGGGTTTATTTGCCTTCCTCTGGATCAATGGTGGGTGTAGGATTATAACTTTTTTTGCCAGACTCTGCTCTCTCCTGGTTCTCCTCCTACCTATCGCAGCGCTCCTTCAGCATTACCTATAACTCTGTCTCCTCCTCTCCACTCCCTCCTTCTGTAGGGGTTCCTCAAGGTTCTGTCCTTGGACCCCTTCTCTTCTCCATCTACACCTCCTCCCTTGGTCACGTGATAAACTCCCAAGTACCATCTCTATGCTGATGACACACAAATCTATCTTTCTACTCCTCACCTCACCCCTTCAGTCTCCTCTCGCATTACTAACCTACTAAGTGACATATCGGCATGTATGTCACTCCACTTCCTCAAACTCAATCTTTCCAAAACTGAGCTCTTAGTATTCCCCCCAGCCCGTGCCCCCTCCCCACTGACTTCTCCATCAAGACCAATAATACAACCATCAGTCCCTCCCCCTCATGCCAGGGTACTAGGTGTAATCCGTCCTTTCACCCCCAAATCTAATCACTGTCCAAACCTTGTAGACTTCTCCTCCGCAACATCTCCAAGATACGCTGTTCCTAACCTCAGAAACTACTAAGCAACTTATTCACTCCCTTGTTATATCTCATCTTGACTATTGTAACTCCCTCCTCATTGGCCGACCTCATCACAGGCTATCCCCTTTTCAGTCTATCATGAATGCTGCTGCCAGACTCATCCACCTTACTAACCGTTCTGTATCTGCCACCCCTCTCTGCCAATCCCTCCACTGGCCTCCACTCAGTGTCCTCCATCCCTCTCTGCCAATCCCTCCACTGGCTTCCCATTGCCAACGGATAAAATTCAAAACATTAACAATAACATATAAAGCCATTTATAACTCTGCCCCCATTTACGTCTCCAATCTTGTCTCCAAATATCACCCAAACCGTCCTCTCCGCTCCTCACACGACCTCCTGCTCTCTAGCTCCCTCATCTCCTCCTCCCATGCTCGTCTCCAGGACTTCTCCAGAGCTTCCCCATCCTCTGGAACTCTCTACCCCAATTTATCAGACTATCTCCTATTCTGCTCACTTTTAGGCGATCTCTGAAAACCTATCTCTTCAGGGAAGCCTATCCTGCCCTCAGCTAATAATGGAATCTTCTACTCTTCCAACCAGTCCATCCCCCACAGTTACTACCTTTTGTACCACTAGCCCCTCCCTCTTAGATTGTAAGTCCCAAGGATCAGGGCCCTCCTAACCCTCTTGTATTGAATTGTATTGTTGCTGTATTGTCTCCCATTATATTGTAAAGCGCTGAGTAACCTGTTAGCGCTATTTAAATCCTGTATAATAATAATAATAATTTTCTAGCAAAAAATGCAGATTTTACGATGTATGTGAAAAATTATAACTTGTCCCTGTAGGCGAGCAGCTAATGAAAAGTTGGATGAAGAGGGTGAAGGTCTGCTTTAAAGCTGATATGAGATTTTAGTGACTAGGTTTACATATACTTTCAGTGTCACATCTACATTGCTGTCAGAAGGCACTCGCCATGCATTTTGTGTGTGTGTGGGGGGGGGGGTTTGACTAATATTGTACAGGTGCTAAAGCATTTTAGAGAAATAGGGTGACCATTTTTCTTTCACATTACAAATGGAAGATTTTTTTGTTAACCTTCTCACAATGTTCTTTTCTACAAGTGCCCCTGTGTTGAAAACATTTACAATTCCGAAAAGGATTTGGAAGTATAATGACTTCTCTTAGTCCGGCGCTCCCCTTCTTTTGTAATATTGATGTTAACTGCGTCAGCCCTTTTCATTGATGGCAATGTTCAGAGCAGAGTTAAATCTCTGTGTCTGTAAGTAAACATACAGCCTGGAGCCAGGATCAGTCATGTTGCAGAGGTGTTGAACACAATAGGACACGAAGAGCGTTCGTGTTTTTCCTTTGTTGCTCATATTCGTAGAGAACACAACCATGGCAGGTTCCTATGACAGTCATAAATTATGTAATGATTGTGTAGGTAATACACAGGATTTACTGGTCTTGTCTATCTCATGGTCTGCATGTTTTATGTATGGAAAGTTAGTACTTTAGCATGTGCAGACCTGAAGGATCACTAGCATTGTAAAAGGGACTCCTTCATAATTTTGGATAGTTGGTTTTCAGAGACAGAGGCCTTCTTTTCAAGAGACCCTATTGGGTCACTAAATCAAAATGTCAAAGATGTACGTATCTAGGAACCTACTTTTTGAGGACGTGCCGTATGTATGAGGCTTGATGTACCACATATGGTGGGAATGCCCCCAGATCAGGGGATTTTGGAATGGGGACTTCTCAATGCTCCACAGGCACCCCAAAAAAGCTCTACTTAAAGGAACCCATCAAGATATTTCCTGATGTTCACAAAGATTTTGTATTCTTTATTTTCTTGCCAGCCAGACTTACTATCGCCGAAACGTGGAGAAAACCCACGGCTTTCCTAGCACAGGTTAAAAGGAAGATTTCGTGGATAATGGTCTACGAAAACAATTTCTGGGATAATCAAAGATACATCTAAACAAATTTATAGAGCATGGGACCTAGAGCAGGGACCCATGAACCCCAATGTCTTTGCAATCGAATGCAATCTCTAACTGAAGTAGATCAAGCATTGGGTGGAGAGCTCCAGGTCTGATTCTTTTTCCAATTAAGTGATTCTGTTTCTTTTATTTATTTTTTTACCCTGAAATGTTGGTGTTTTCACTTCGAATGTTATAGGATGCACTAAATACAGCTAGATAAAACAAAAACGGTGTCTGTCTTCATTCAGATTCTTTTCTACCCACTGTTTGTCTCAGAACTAGAGAACACCTCCCCTTATGTCATGGATAAATAGTGCAGTTGTTGGAGGGGTGGAGGTGTTTGTAGTCTTGCCCATGAATGACAATGCTGCTACCTCATGGGTACAGTGCAGTGAATGTTATCCTAGGACATGAAGTGTGTTACTGGCAGGATCACCAAGGGAAAAAGGCCTGAAAAAGTGAATGCAGCCACTGCATCAAAGGACTGGTACAATGCAATATATTACATTTTTTTTCTTGGGTCTTTAAATATACATTTATAGCAGAAAAATCGCAACTCTGTGTAATCCCTTTTGGCTCCCTAATCTGTTTTCCTTTCTTTTCTCTACTTTTTTCTTTTATTTTTCTCCTTTTTCTTTTCTTTTACCTTTTTTTTCTTTTCTCTTTTTTTTTTCTCTTTTCTCTATTCTTTTCTCTTTTCTTTTCTTTTTTTTTTCCTTTATTTTTTTTTCTTTTTTTTTTCTTTTTTTCTTTTTTGTCTTTCTTTTTCATTTTTCTTTTTTTTCTTTCTTTTTTTTTTTTTCCTTTTCTTCCTTTTTTTTTTCTTTCTTTCTCTTTTTTTCTTTCTTTCTCTTTTTTTCTTTCTTTCTCTTTTTTTCTTTTCTTTTCTTTGTTTCTTTTTTCTTTTCTTTTCCTTTTTTTTTCCTTTTTCTTTTTTGTCTTTTTTCTTTTTTGTCTTTTTTTTCTTTTCTTCCTTTCTTTTTGTCTTTTTTTTTTTTTTTCTTCCTTTTCTTTTTTGTCTTTTTTCTTTTTTTTTTCTTTTTCTTCCTTTCTTTTTTTCTTCTTCTTCTCTTTTCTTCCTTTTTTTTTTTTTTTTTTTTTCGTTTTTTCTTTTTTTTCTTTTCTTTTTTTTCTTTTTTTTTTTCTTTCCTTTCCTTTTTCCTGTCTCCTTTCCTTTGTCTGTTTTTTTTTTCTTTTCATTCTCTTCCTCTGCATATTCCCTCTTTGCTCCCTAATCTGATTTGCTTCATTCAGTCTTTCATTTGTCCAATCTTTCTTTAACTGTGTATTCCTTCTTGGCTCCTAGAATGTGATTCTTGGCTACTGAGGTCCACATTATTTTAGTATGTCCATTTTTGTACACAATATGATCTGTTTATCCTCCACCCAAAATAAACACATGCTGTGGGGCCATATTCTTGTTGTGCTTAAAAAAAAAAATCATGGAACCTAAATTCAAGAATTGTAATTTCCCTGTATTTATTTATTTATTTATTTTCTCTCCAAGGATTTGGATCTGTTATCCAGATGTACCCAGGCACTGGACCTGTTAGAGCCGCAACAGATTGCTTTGGTTTTCCCAAATCCTTCTACAAATCCCTGTATGAATTTCCGCTCAGTAAAGTGGAGAGTCTGATCTCTGGGACTTTCTCTGGTCACAGCCATGTTTCTGCACAGCAGGACTCTGTACAAGGTGGTGATGAGGAAAGCAATGGGTCAGCTGCTGAAAAACAAGAACCTGCTCAGGACGTCGATGAAGACTCTTGTCCTGCCACAGAACCTGAAGGCTCGGCGGACTCTAGCCAACCGGAGAACCAAGAGGAGATGGAAGTCTCTGGTGAGGAAAGCAATGAGAGAGGCCAGGATCCCGAAAAGAAACAGATTGTAAGTACCAGCAGTGTTAACTTTTGGTTTTGTGTTTGTCAGTCTTTTGACCAAAATGCCATGTTAGTTTTAGTCGTATATTAGTCAATAAAATTGTTTTAGTGGTTGTCATATTTTAGTCGATTAAAATCTCCAGTACATTTTAATTCGACTAAAATCTAATGGATTTAGTTAAATTGTAATGATTATTTAAGCATTTCTCTAGAATTTTCAAACCCATTATATACTTCTGGAGTAAAAATCTAATAACATGTTATTTATGGCATTAAGGTTTGAACATGCACTACAGATACAGATTTCGCCATTGTGACTAAAACAATTCAGATGACTAAAATGCGACAAAAATGAAATTGGCATTTTAGTCAAAAGACTATAACTAAAACCAGGGTGGATTTGTTTTAAATCAAACTGATTTAAATCACTAGTCAGTAAGGCTTGATTTTTAAATCCTAGTTTTCTACATAAAGACTAATTCTTGCTGGTATAACTTTAATATACAAGTAGATGAAGATTTTTAGAATTACAACTTTTCATATTAGTTTTTTTATCCCCAGTTTAATAGGTTAATCATTCATATTTGGACAACTTTTCTGTTGTACTTAGGAAGGAGAAAAATAATCATTACCTTAATAACAATTTAAATAGATTTATTCAACTGAAACAATAACATTCCAGCATATGTGATTTGCTTAAACATCCATGTTTGTTAACTAATTTGGCTAAACAAAATATATATATTGTAAGAAACTTAGACTGTCAGCCCCTTCCTCCTCACACTTAGCTTCACTTTCTTCTTGTGCAGATCTATTCCACTCCAAACAATCAGAAAAATATTGTTTCTATTCTATTCACTGAACTTCTTGAAATTTAGCACTGAAGGGGTTGATTCTGTATTCATAGGTTTGTAGAAGTTAGGATGAAGGTCTTTTTCTTAACTCTGTTCATGTTATAACATTTTTGCTGTGAAGAAGAGGCATGTGATCTCCGCTGAGTCAAATTCAGTTTTGAGAACTGCAAAAGTAAACCGAGCATCTGTGATAATATCTTGTAGGCAGAGAAACTGCCCAATAATCTTACAAACACCTCTGGAAGAGCATGACATTGTGAATGGATTCATGGAATTTATTTACCAAAACAATTAAACATATACAGCCTTATTCTACATAATTAAAAAACTAATCCTTATTTCATGATGGAATAACCTTTGGATGGTAATATATTTTCCTCAAAAAGCATTTTATTTTAAAAAATCCGATTTAAATTTAAAAAAATCTGATTTTTTTTTTTATTTTTTTTTAAACAAATCATTGATTTTTATCCACCCTGACTAAAACTAAATTTGAATTTGAGGTCAAAATTATATAAGTTATATAACGTTATATAAAAACCAGTGTTAATTTTGACGTCAAATTCAAATTTAGTTTTAGTTCTGGTCTTTTGACTACAATGCCAATTTAGTTTTTGTCATATTTTAGTCATCTGAATTGTTTTAGTTTTAGTCATATTTTAATCAACTAAAATAGTGTTAATGCCATCATATAAAATATTTTTGTAAATGAAATTAACACCAGCTTGCCAAATTTACAGTGTTCCTTTATAAACTGACCCTAAAAGTGATACTGTCACTTTAAACCGCTTCCCAGGCGCTGTATAGCAGATATACTGCTACGTGATTTTGCATTTCTGGGTAGGGGGCGCGCAGCATGAGTCACGCGCTCGCCCTACCCACGCCACCATTTGCGGCCACTGATGTCAATCACCATGTCCCAGCCGGTAATTACTTGCCGGCGCCCAGTGATTACTGACAATCACTGACAGGAAGGAGGGCTGCTTTGTTTACAAACAGTCTTCCTCCCTGTCAGCTCGGGCACACTCTCGGGATGGCTGTGCACAGCACAACCATCCCGATCAGTGTGCTTGCAGTGAAGCACCCCCCCCCCCCAGTAAAAAACACTCCCAGCACACAGTTAACCCTTAGATCGCCCCTCACATTAACCCCTTCCTGCCCAGTGTCATTAGTACAGTGTCGGTGCTGTTTTTTTAGCACTGATCACTGTAGTGGTGTCACTGGGGATGTCCGTGACAACAAGTTGGTTCCCCCCCAGTGTCAGAATGCCCACTGCAGTCCCGCTAAAAGTCGCTGATCGCCTCCATTACTAGCAGGGAAAGCAAAAAATCCCAGTATCTATACCGCCATTTGTAAACGCTATAACTTTCACGTAAACCAATTAATTTATACGTATTGGGATTTTGTTTTTAGCAAAGACACGGAGCAGAATACATTTGGCCTAAATTTATGCTGAAATTTGATTTTTTTTTTTTTTTTATACATTTTCTTTACTGGACATATTTAACAGCAAAAAGTCCAAAATATTTATTTTTCTCAAAATGGTCAGTCTTTTTTTTTTTTTTTCTGCTTATAGCACAAAAAATTAAAAACACACAGGCAATCAAATACCACCAGGGGCGGACTGACCATTTGGAAACTTGGGCACTGCCCGAGGGCCCAGGGTCAGAAGGGGGCCCCATGAGATGCCCCTGGTACCTTTTTCATAGGCTTTTTTGAGTTTGGGCAAGGACACGGGGGCCCCATGATCCCCTATTGCCCGGGGGCTCCATGAGTTGTCAGTCCGCCCCTGAATACCACCGAAAGAAAGCTGAATTCGTGGGAAAAAAAGGACGTACATTTTTATCTGGATGCTGCGGTACATGACCACGCAATTGTCAGTTAAAGTAACACAAAAAATGGCCTGGTCAGGAGGGGTGTAAATCCTCTGGAGGGCAAGTGGTTAAAGCAGACCTTTAATGCCACAAAAATCAGCTGTGTATGCACATCCCTGAATTCATTTGTAGAATCAAAGTTTTTTGTGTAACCTTATTTTTTTTTTTTTTCCTCTTCCTGGTTTTCAGTAAGCACTGGTGGCGTAGCCAGGATTTCACAGATGCCCCCTGGGAAGGCTAGATCACCAGTGATTTCCAGGAAGATCTTGCCTGATTTGGCTCATATGCTGGTGAACCATAACAAGCCGCACTAGATCTTGCATGGTGCATGAGCAAGATCAGGCGCAAACATTAACAATGGGCCAGCACAGAATAGGGAGGAAGCCAATCACCAATGAGGATATTTTGAAAAATGGCAGTGCGGGATGTGGCACTTAAATGTACTAAGTTTAAGTAGCTGAATTTGAGTTGGTATCAGCCTTTTGCAGTCCCTGCACAGCAGTTTAAACTACAAGGGGGAGAAACGGCACAAGGAGGCAGCTGAGGAGAGGCTGTGCTAGAGCATGCTGATAGGAGGAGAGAGCAGAGTCACAAAACAACTGAACTCATCAGTCTGCTGCTTCTCCTTTTACTGTACAGTCACAGTATGAGATGGAGGACCTACAAGTGTTTGCTTAAAGCTGAAGTCTGGGCAAAACCATTATTGGGTATGAACTAGATATCAAGAAGGTACCTCTAATGATGTGTATCCCTCTGGTGGCTGCTGCTTCTTTCTTTAAAAAAAGATTTTAAAAATTACTTAAAGTGGTTGTAAATGCCCAAAGCCTTCTGTGCGCAGCAGCCTTGCCAATACTTACCTGATCCTCATCACGATCCAGCGATGCGCACAAGAGCCTCAGCTCTCCAGGGACTTTCCCTTTCTCATTGGCTGAGACAGCAGCGTGATACATTGTCTCCTCCTGCTGTCAATCGCAACCAGTGAGCCAATAAGGAGAGGGTGAGGCCGGGGCCAAGCCACGGCTCTGTGTATGAATGGACACACAAAGCTGCAGCTCGGGAGCAAGCCTGCTTGGGTGCCACCATAGGGACAGGAGTGCCGGCGGGGGACCCGAAAAGAGGAGGATCGGAGCTGATCTGTGCAAAACCACTGCACAGAGCAGGTAAGTATAACATGTTTGTTATAAAAATAGAAAAAAAAAAAAGCCTTTAATATCACTTTAAATACAGCCTTTGATGGTGATGTCACCTCTCATCTTTTGGCAGTGAAACTGACAATCAGCTGGAGCACAGGAATCAAAGCGGGTTTCTTGCTGTGTAACTCCTCCGTTCAGAGATCCTCTTGTTTTCTTTTTTAAAAAAGGATGGAGCTCTGTGATTGGACAAGGGGAGATCGTGACGTTCATTTACCCCTTGCCCAATCACAGAATGTCTCGTATTCTTTGAAAAGACTGTTGGTTGGACATCACTGCTGCGTGTAATTTCAAGAAAGAAGCCGCAGCCGTGAGTGGGGATAGACATCATTACAGATGTTAGCTCATTTGTACCTAGTTACTGCCATAATTACATTTTTTTAGTCCATATGTGACAGATCTGTTTAAATCTCAGAACTGGATGGACAGATTTACAAAATTTTGGCACGTAAAACAACTCCTAAATACACTGGGCAAAAAAGTATTTAGTCAGCCACCAATTGTACAAGTTCTCCCACTTAAAAAGATGAGAGAGGCCTGTAATTGGCATCATAGGTAGACCTCAACTACGAGAGACAAAATGAGAAAAAAAAATCCAGACAATCACATTGGCTGATTTGGAAAGAATTTATTTGCAAATTATGGTGGAAAATAAGTATTTGGTCAATATGAAAAGTTCATCTCAATACTTTGTTATATATCCTTTGTTGTCAATGACAGAGGTCAAACGTTTCCTGTAAGTCTTCACAAGGTTGGCACACACTGTTGCTGGTATGTTGGCCCATTCCTCCATGCAGATCTCCTCTAGAGCAGTGATGTTTTGGGGCTGTCGCTGGGCAACATGGACTTTCAACTCCCTCCAAAGGTTTTCTATGGGGTTGAGATCTGGAGACTGGCTAGGCCACTCCAGGACCTTGAAATGCTTCTTACGAAGCCACTCCTTCGTTGCCTGGGTGGTATGTTTGGGATCATTGTCATGTTGGAAGACCCAGCCACGTTTCATCTTCAATGCCCTTGCTGATGGAAGGAGGTTTGCACTCAAAATCTCACGATACATGGCCCCATTCATTCTGTCCTGTACATGGATCA